GGGGGGCGGAGCGGGCGGGAGCCGAGGCTTGCAGCGGGCCTCGGGGCTGAGAGCGCGACGCGGCCTAGAGCGGCAGACGGCGCGGTGGGCCGAGGAGGAGGCAGCAACCGCCCTGGCCCGTCATGGAGATGGAAAAGGAGTTCGAGCAGATCGACAAGGCCGGGAGCTGGGCGGCCATATACCAGGTGCGGGAGCGCCCCGGAGCGCCGCAGGCCCTTCGCTTAGGCCGCGTGAACCTTCGCCTCAGACCCCTGGGCCCCGTTCTCCCGCCGAGTCTCGCCCTCCGCTTCGGCCCTGCTGCTTGGGGACTCGATCCGACACAGCGGCTCAGGCCGCCCCCCCCCTCTCTTTGTCCCCCGGGTGGAGCCTCGCAGCCCCTTTCGATCCCCCACGCAGCTCACATCCTCTTGCCCGGGTGACCTCTCCAGCCCGGAGGCCGCGGGTCTGTGCTCAGCGCGAGTCCCTCGCGCCCCCGACCCCGCCCCTTCCTATCACTCTTTGTCCCCTGGGGTTGATGGAGCACCCCCACTACTTCCTTTTCTGGACTGGACCACCTCTCACTCGCTCCCTTTGTCTCCTCTGGGGAGGGGGTGATTGCTCCCCATTCCCTCCTCACATTCGCACGTTGCCTTTTCCCTAGTCCCAAAGCGCGTAGAGCCCCAACGATGACAGTGCCCTCCCCCGTTCCTGTTCATTCATTTATTGGGTCTGAATTGGCGTGCCTGCTGCGAGCGAGCCACTGCTTAGGCTCTGCAGGTAATGATTGCCGAACCGGAGCGGCGGGAGCCTATCCCTGCTGGAGCGGAGGCTCCCTGGGCGGTCATGCACAGCAGCAAGCGATTCCCGAGAGTGGCAAGTGTCGTGAGGGAACGGCATCCACACATGCTAGCGGGTGACAGTCGCACGGAGGGCCGGCGAGGAAGGGACCCGGGGTGGAAGGTCTGTTAGAGGAGAGGACATTTGGTCTGCGAGCTGAAGGAGGAGGCGCAGCGGGCCCTGAGAACATCGGGCTAGAAAGCCTGCAGTCCCCACTCCACCAGGCCTAATTACCCTTCCAGGCAGGGACTGGGGAAGGTTAACGTTTTAATCCTCTCTGAAACAGCATCTTTCCTCAGGGAGCATCTTATCTTTCTGGTCCGGCAGAGACGATCTTGTCTTCCAAGTCCTCATCTGTTTGTGGGTTATGGTGGCTCATAAATAAGAGGTTAGAAAGGTAGGGTTTCTTATATCTGTGAAACATCAACTTAAAAACACGAAGAGGTCTTCTTGGACTAGCAGCTCAATTCTCTAACGAAAATACATACCCCGATTAAATGTCATTGTGGGGGCTGTGAGGATTAACCAAAACCACACCGGCTCCAGGATCTTAAATAGGCCACGTACAGAATAGAAAGATTTCTTTGCTGGTGTAAAGGGAGAAGGCGGTTTCTGTTGTGCACTTTATAGGCTCAAAAGGCAAATTGTGAGATCCATCAGCTGTAGTATTAAAATCTATTTTGAGCTCTGCTTAAAAAGGAAAAAGGCTTTAAGCGGTTCTCTGGTATGCTTGGCCAACAAAAGCCTTTCTGGCAGCCTTCATTTCATGAGGATTTGCATCAAGGTTATTTGACAGGATTCTTTCTACTTGGACTGCAATGTGTGTCAGCTTTTGACAGACTAATGTTTATAACCACTGTAATCTGTATAAGTATGATCGATCAATGTATAAAATTTGTATTCCATGTCTTGTCTCTGAATTAATTGAATGAATTCTGCCAGTGACTTTGAGAGTGTGTGGATAGATTCTTCTGCAGCAGATTTAATGCAGTGGAGTCTGAAGTGGCTTTAAATGAAAACTGTTGGGTCTGAAGTGTTAGCGTTGATGATGGTAATACCCTATCACAAATGGAGGCATGGGGGAACTCTTTTAAACTGAAACTGAGTTGGTACCAACAGACTTATATTTTAGGTTAAGTTCTTGGTTGAACATGATTTCTTTCTGTTTTAGGCCTACAGAGTAGCCTGACCTGTCCCCATTGTTAAAACAGTGTTAAGCATGTTTCTTGCTTGGGGTGGGGGTGGTCTTCCAGTAATTTTCCTCACTGTTGTTCAGTTTTTGTTCCACACTTAAACCCTATAAGTTACTTAAGATGAGATTTCCCCAGCTGCTCAGTGGATTGCCACGTTCCTGGAGGTGGTTTCTTTTGATCTTAGAGAATTGTCACTGTGGGCTTTTTTCATCTCTACCATGCAGATGTTTTTCTTTTCTAAAATCGAAGTCAGAAGTGCTTCTCCTTTTTAAGTTTAAAAGTGGCTCTTTATCGTACAACTGTGCCATTTTAAAAAAACTGTAGTGTTCAAATGACCTTGAGTGAGTCTAAAGTGGCTACTTTGCCAAGGTGTGTGCCAGTTTGTCCAAACCATTATTTTTCCAGAATTCAAAGAAGTGTGTCTATGATTGGTAGAAAATGGAAATTAAGAAAATGTACTATTTTGTAGCATGTCAAGATAGGAGAGCAGCCTTATACCACCAAGTCATGTTTTGAGCTTGCCTAGTCTTTCCTGATTAAGAAAATAATATGTAATGTTTGCTTAAAACTTGGTAAACAAGCAAGGGTAGTTGTTTCTCATTTTTTGTACCTTCTTATCTAGTTAGAACAAAAAGATACAAACCTTGGAAACATTTGGGAAAAGAGCAAAAAGTAAAGTGGACCTTTGAGTGCGAGGAATGTTGCTAGCTTAGAAAACAAGCTTCAGGCTAAGATTCTGTGCTACCTCAGTTTGATAAAATGAACACATACAACCCCTTCAATCCTACTAAATATTAGCACAGATACTAAGAAACATTTAAATCTCTAAAAAGTCAGCTTTAATAGCGTATAAAGATGGCTTTAAAAATTGCTTTCTAGCATGTAGATGATTTTAAATCATTTGAAAAGTGGAATACCAGGAGAGCCTCTTGTTTGGTTGCTCTGGCTGTCCACAAGACGAGAATGGCACAGCATACGGGAAAGGGATTGGTTTCCTTGAGCTAGAATGAGAGAACGTCTGAATGAATGTAAAGCATAGCTGACCCGCTGCCCTCCCTCTGTAGTTCAAGAGGGTCTAGGTCTGGTGGTGTGCAATTTTTCTCATCTCTATATTTTTCGATTTTCCAGCACTATTCACTACTTTTTAGTGTGAATAAGTGATTTGATTGTTTCAGATAAAGGAGATTGCAACAGTAGCTTGTGACTTGAAAGCAAGATTTATTACATGTTAGAGGCAGGCTTTGTAAAATGGGCTATTCTTCCGATCGACATTTGTTTTTATTGCTGCTTTCATTATGAAATACAGTCTAATGCCTGGCTAGGTTAAAATCGTGTTAGAACAATAGTTCACTAAAATCCTTACTGGTATATACATCTTACGCTGTTACAGTCAAGGGGATGAATATTAAAACTTCCTAATAATGTTTGTTTAAATACCATTCTCGTCAGAGAGGGGGAATAAAAACTATTTTGTACAGAGGAGAAATATCTATACACTATGACTCACTTCACTTAAAAAAAAAAAAAAAGACAAACGGAAATGACACGGAGAGATTGGGAAGTTCTAGTCATCTTGAGTGACCCGTTAGATCTAAATGTTCTTGTTTAGCCCTGGTTTGCGTGAACTAAATTTAAGTGTCTGATCAGCTCTTTAGAGATGGTGTAGAGACCTTTGTAATTGTGTAGACCGGTGCTAAATTAACTGAGCATACAAGGAGAAATAGTGGAAGGAACAGCTTTTTGCTACCATTATTTGACATTACTGGCATGTTTACTTTTTCTTTGATACTTCTGGAAGTAAATAAATCATCAGATATTCTGAAAAGTCAGCTGAAGAGCAATGGTCATGCAAATATTTTTTTCTGGCCAGTTATCAACCCTGCATTATGCATTTTATTATGAATAGCCCCTCAAAACCTATTTTTAAAAACCCTAGTTGGTACCAGCAGTTGGTGTAATGGCTATGTCGCTGAACTCCCATGTAGTTGACTGCGGTTTGAGTCACAGACCTGGTGGCTTAAACTCACACTGGGCGCAGGTGCGTGTGTGCCCAAGATCCCGAGAGGAGAATGGAAGAGAAGGGATTGTGGTGTGGCCATCCCCCCCTTGGGAGGCAATTTCTCACTTTCTGTCTTTCTGGTGAGTGCACACGCGCTATAGCAAAAACCTCACCCCCAAACAAACAAACAAACCCTAGTGAAAAATGTAATTGAATATATACTGCATTTCATGATAGAAATGAATAATTTTTCTGTGGAGATTTTTCAGGCCATAAACTGTCAAAATAATTGCCTTTTTTTTGGTCTTTCTTTTTCTTTTTTAATATGTTCTGTTTTCTGACCTTTTGGATTGCAGCATCCTTTTGGCATTTTTTGTTTCATGCTTTTAATTGTGGGTACTTTTTCTGACGCCTACCTGAGCCCCAGTAGATTCTATACGATTTGGCATTCCTCCCTGTAGTGTAATGCATTAGTGGTAGCAACTAATCCTGCTGAGTAGGCTGGTTATGTTCCTTTAGGACAATAGTGAGGACCACTGGCATTCTAGCTGGGTCACTCTTCCCCAGACTATCGCAGTTTGGCACCTGCTGATTCAGTGGTTTGAGTATCTAGGAGTACCGTGGACTTTGGGGTCCACTTTGTGATTCCATCTACCACATTGCATTGCTTGGTCACCATGGCATCCTTCCTGTTGCTCCAGTGGTCTAGGTTCTGTAATTTGGCTGTAAGACTGCAGTCTTTTCTGGTTTCTCACTGTAGAAGTAGAAGAAACTGGTTACCTGTTAATTTGGTCCGTCAGCATTTTCTCACCTTTCCCCTACTCCGTGAGCCTGCCGCTCTTCTGGATAAGTACTTTGATGCCTTCATAATACCCAAAAGGCCCAGCTCCAGAGCGTGGCAGCCAGGGCCCAGGCCTCCCTCCCATGTAGTGCCATTCCTGCCCAGTAGAACGTGCAGTGTTCTCCAGACCTCCTTACCTTTCCTTCCTCTGTACTGTCGCTCAGCTTGTCTGGGATGCCTGTCACTTCATCCAGCTGGCACCCTCCAGCTCAGATGCTGTCATCTGCGTGTCTTTGTGCCTCCTGATACACAGCTCCTCTAACACCTGCTCACTGCTACGAGACAGACGCAGTCTGTCTGCTCGAGAGCCCGAGCTTCCTGAGGTCACCCATTCCA